AGTGGGAGAATGGGGGGGTTTTTTTGGAGGGGGGGGGGGGGGGGGTGCACAAGACCTGAGATATCCCCTTGTTCTGTCAGTGATCACCTGCAGTGGTTCCTCTGCAACCCTTTCCGCTCACCAGGAGTGCAAAATCACTATACCAGTTTCTTTTCTATTCCCTTCTTTTCATAAACTTTCCCTCAGATGTGCCCGCCCCACAACCCCCATCCATCAACTAGTTGGCAATGGCATTGTTTTTAATCATCAGAACCTCAAAATTATTATTATCGCTTCTGATGCGGCAATTAAAACTTCAGGTCAGAGGCACAACGAGCGGTGATCAGCAGCCGAGCTGAGAAGTTTTAATTAGACGATCAGAACCATTAATGCACAAAAAAAAGGTGTGCGCTGGGAAATTAACGGGAACGTCTTAATCAGGGTTAGCGACTCCGAAGAGGAGTCAAGTGAACAGAGAGCAAAAAACAAATCATTTCCGCACCACTGGGACAAAACTCAATTAAATATGCATGCAGAAAAATGGAAATTTCTCTGCATCCGCCGCACCGACTGTTAGAAAACGGTGGAAAATCTCACGGCGGGGTCCTCAACCTGCTTATTGTTATTCTTCTGTAATAAAAATGAGAGTGGGGCCAGATGCCGGGGTCCGGGTGCTGCGGCGTGCTTGTCCATCAGCAGCTTTCCGCTCGACTTCCCCGCGGCTGCCGCGGCTCCTCCACCGTGCAAGATGGAGAGGAAGGCAGAGCGATGGAGAGGCGGGGAGCGCTCTCCTCTTGCGAGCTGTGAATTTACAAAAATAAAAAAACATTGTCATCCTCGAGTGTGCGAGTGCGTGTATGTTTGCCCGTGCGGCTCTGCGAGTTTCCTGAAATACACACTCTGTCACACATACATCTCCCTTGAGAGGCAGCAACATGAAAGGTTCACTGAGCTACACGCTGGGAGCCTTGTCTATTAATCTGCCAAAGGTTCACAAAGTTATAACCAGACTTGTTTTCTCTCTTTTCTTAAAAAAATGGGAAGCTTCTGCAACTCCTGGTTGCATATTGTAAAATAATCCTGAGCTAAACAGACATCTTCCAGACCTTGTTTGTATTAATTAACTTGAGATATTACGCGGGGGGGTTTGGTCCCTGTGTCAGTCATGTTGGAACTCAGCAGGTATCTACAACGGGCTCTGTATCTGTGTTTGATTAGTTGAAGAGATAAAAGCTTCAGTTTAAACAGGGAATATCTACCTCTCATATACAGACCCCTCCTGTGTGCTCGATCCATACAAACTGAAACACTGCGGGGAGTTGGTCTCTTTATGGGGCAGCGTTGCTCTCTGAATTACCAACAAAATCAAGCTATTTCATTTTCCACGTGACAATACGTGTCCCATAAGTTAACTGCACAAGTGATTTGGATGGAAGAGGGGGCTGTGCTGTAAAGCCTTGACCTGACACTTCTTTTACAGCAGGATGAATTACAAATAATCACAATAATACCATTGTTAGGATTTGAAACACCCACAAAAAAGTGCAATGTATATTTTAGGTCGTTCTGCATTTTAAAAAAATTCAAAGAAGCACCTGTGGAGGCTTAGAGAGCAGGGGGAGGAGTTTGTATGTGCAGAGAAGCTGGAAGAGCTGAGCTTTCCAGCTCTGAGGAAAAGCAGGACCCTGGGGGGGGGGACTTGCGCTCAATTTTTGACTGAAGATAAAAAAAAAAAGAACCTGACGTAGTGCAAATGTATTCAAAATAGTTTCTTGAGTTTTTACTTCTGTTTTGGCCTTATACAGACACTATCCGGCTCTTCTTTAGGCTCCTGCACTGTTTCCAGTAAAAATATTGTCACTGTTAACATAAGCAGCTGGAAAAATTAGTTTCAGCTGTTATGTTCGAACCTGCAGAGGTTTTTTTCTTTTCTTTTCTTTTTTTTCAACTCCCAGTGCTTGCTGAGGTGTCTCCTCCTTGACAATTAGCACAGCAGGCTAAAACGGAGTGTAAATAATGTCCAACGCGTGTGACAGTGTTGTTTTTCTTTCTGATATTCATTAATAAGGCAGAATGCTTAGTAGACTCTCAGAGCGGCGGCGACGGTGGTGGTGGTGGGGTGTTTGGTCCCAGGGGGAAAAGTTGTTCTTTCATGTTAAGTCCCCACAGATTTTATCTCTTTGTATGCTATCATGCACACAAACGACTTGAGGTAAACAGCTTAACGTTACCATAGCAATCCCTACTGTAAGCAATGACAAAAAAAAGCTGCTGTGGACAGAAACCATCAGCATAAATAAATGTTCAGACTGCTTTCATAAACCATCGAACCATAGCGTGTTTCTCCTTAAGGGAAGCAGATAATATTTAATTTGCTTTAAAGGAGACATATGCTTTTAAATCCTACTTTTCCACATTTAAATCATTCAGTTGGGGTCTATATAAAGTGGAACTTCAATGCTTTGGTTTGAACACCTTCTTATTGTAACTCCACAAGCCCCTCTTTTTTCCTCATTTTCTGATGTGTCTCAGATCAACTCGTTTTGATGCTGTCTCTTTAAATCCAAACGAGGCGCTTCTGGCCCCGCCCCCTCCAGCTTCCAGACTGGTCCATTCTGATTTGACTATCTTGCAGCACAAAAACATTTTATTTACAAATTAATTAAAAGATGTGAACAAGGGAAGACGTGTCCATCCAGCCTCACATGTTGGAGCCAGAGTCTGACCCAGAATCAGAGGAGAATGATGACGACAAAACTGCAGTTGGTAAGTTCAGATCCTTATTTGTCAGCTCCGTCCCAAATACTGTCAGGTAATAGTTCTGAAACTGTCGTAGAAAATAGAGAAAACTGAACAGGTTGAGAAATCTAATTCAAACAGAATATAAAGATTACGCAGCACCGGGAGAAACTAAGTTCAGCTTTTCTGCACTCCTAGGGGCTCCAAGTACACAACAAAATGTACTTAATGGCTAAAAAAGTGGATTTTGCATGATATGTCCCTTTTTAAATTATCTTTTACTTAAAAAAAGCAACAAACGCTGGTGTGATTTCAGATTATTCACTTTGAGGCCTGCTGGAGACTCAACAGGTCATATACTCGTGCTTCTTATTGTTAACAGAAGAACTTACATAAATAGGTACAAATGGAAAGAAGCCACTCGGTCGGGTCATTTCCTACAAGGAGCTTGAGATTGCTACACAAAGGAAATCGGTAGTTAAAGCATGAAATACTGAACCCAGTAAACAGAAAAAGAATGACCTCCACAGCAACACCCAAATGACCTCAATCTTCCTTTGGAGCGTATTTCTAGAGAAAAAAAATACTTGAAAATTTATGTCTTCCACTTCCTAATAGTTTTCCAAGCTGATTTTTTTCTTTCATATTTGCTGTCTTTTAAAACCGGACCTCTTTCACCTTAAGCCGCAATTGTTTAACACTAAAAATCATGCAGTAATGTGTTTCTGATGTACGCTCCCCTCATCAAAAGTGCATAATTTCTGAAGTCATTGTTTCAGAGAGGAAGCCCGCAGTGTAAATACTGTAACTGAGAAAGCATGTGTGGGTAGCACCGGGTTCATTGTCTGGCAACGGGGGTGATCAGTAAACTCCTTCAAATTGCATATCCTCTAATGATTCCACAGCTTTGCAAAAGAAAATGAAAACAGGGTTTTATGTTGCTCCGATGTGATTTACATAATGCTGGCAATGGCTCACACATGATTATGTTGGGCTTTATGGCCGAGGCAAAATGAAGAGGCTCACACTCATCGATAAAGAAAGTGGATTGAGACTTTAGGACAGAACTTGGTTGCCTCATTTTTCTATCTCGAAACGGCGGGGTCTGTAAATCAACGCGGTGCATCAGCTTGAAAATTGTGAAAGGGGATGTGCTGCGAGTGTTCTCACACAAGCCCCGAAAGCGCTGCCATTTACCTGCCACTGAACGAAAAAGAAAATGTTCTTGTTTTAATTCCCCGCATTCTTCTGCCTCTCTGTGCGATAAATCCTCCCCGTCGCGCGCTCGTTCCTTTTGGAAAAGTTGTTCATTAATTGTTCCGAAAACGCTTTCAGACGGTGAACTTTGGTGGCTGTGGAAATCCAGTGAAAGGTAACAGAGTGCAGTTTCTGCCCTAAAAAGGCAGCTCTGGATATGGAATGCCACAAGCAGCTGTTCCTCCCTCATCAGAGGACATGTTATAAAGATAGCCCCACTTGGATTGAAATAATGCCACCCATTCCTGCCCCAAAGCACACTATATCATGTGCTATTGTCCAGTGAGGCCACACTGGGTGGGGGGGGATGCGTTGACTTGTTAGGGTACATAATATATTGTTAAGTAAAAATACATAAAATACAGATATTGCAACAATTTTCGGAACACGACATTTTATTCTCCTCCTAGCAGACTTTTTGAATTCAGCCTCTGAGTCAGTTTTTACTAAAAGCGCTGGGGTTTTTCTGCTCCACATCTTGACAGCTTAAATGCTGTGCACCCCCACCCCCACCTCCTCCAATCAGTGTCAGGCCCACAGCCTCTTGAGGTAAGAGTGAAGATAACATTTCAGTGTCTGTACAGCACTGTCATGTGAAGGATTATGTACTCGCTGCTTGTAGTATTGTAGGGGGTCTGATACCTATTTGCCTGTGGTTCCAGCTGTTCTGTTTGTTCTTGTGCTAAATGTTGTTTCCACCGCTGCGTGAAAAAGCTGACCAAAACCCTATGACACAGACATGCACTGTATCTCTGTGTGTCCTTCCAGTCTTGCACTGTTATTGTTAAGTGCTTTTGGATGTTATTAATAGTAGCAGATACCATTGTCTGTGCCAGTTTGTTTTTTTTCCATTGTGCTGTTTAAAATCAGTTGAAGCTACAGACAGAAAAAAAAAGTGCTTCAAGCAAGTCTAGCTCTTATTTAAAAGGAGTTTATTAATTTTAACAGCCGAGTTGCTTAAACGGATCACGTTTTAACTACTGTAATCTTACGCTTTTATGTTTTTGTCTTTTTTGTCCTATCAGCTGAAAGGAGTTTATGCACTGAAACGACCTCAGGAAAACCCAAGATGGCCGCCAAAAGGAAAGGTGGCCTGAAACTCAACGCAATCTGTGCCAAGCTGAGCCGCCAAGTGGTGTTCGATGGCAGCTCCCAGAACGCAGAGGGAGAGCAGAGCGTGGCGGAGACCAGCGAGCGCGGCAGCTCCTACTGCGAAGACAACGAGACCAACTTCCCCGAGAGCCTGAGCCTGAGTCAGAGCCTGGAGGAGGACCAGAAGAGGCGCGAGGCCATCGAGAAGTGGGTCAACGGCGACTACGGCGAAGAGCCGCCAGCTCCTGATGACGAGCAGGAGCCCGAGCTGAAAGGCAGCAACGATGAAGATGCCCCCCCTGAGGGTGTCTACATGGTACAGCCTAGGGGCTGCAGCGATGACGAGGACAACGCTGAGGACCCCGAGGCCCCTGTAGGTGCCCAGGACGGCAGTTACCACGACAAGGAAGCTGAGGACAGGCCTCCAAAAGACGACCACTACATCCCACCGAGTGAGACCCAGAGTCGCCAAGCACCTTTCTCCTCGCCAGGTACGGTGTCCGCCAACAAACACTCACCTGTCAAATTTTAAATCAACACTTTCTTTGCCATAAAACACATAAACACCCCACAGTTTAAAGGTGCAACACCTCAGACAGAGGAAAGGTGACATTGTCACATCCATTTCAGCGCAAATGTGCCCACTATTGGAGAGAGAAGCTCTAGTTACGTTATGAATACACAGTGATATTTTTACTCTGAAGACAGATTCAACTGGTGAATGAGAGGGGATGACAGCAACTTGTTTGTGGTTTAAAGGAATTAATAAACGGTGGAGGCTTATAATGTCTAGGCATTTAGATTTTTGTGCATTCTCTCAGCAGCTGAGGCTCAAGAGCACATGGCAGGGCTAGCGTAAGCTTCATATTACACCCAGGATTACGTCCTGAGACTTTGATTTTTTTTCCCCTTTAAGCTCACTAAACTTAGCCACTGCCTCAGGCTCCTCTGTTACAGGACAGGAGGTACGTACTTTTTTTCTCCTGCAGTTGTCAAATCCCTGCGATCAGTTGCCAAATAAAGTTAGTAATATTGAAACTATATTGCTGTGCCCCATCACATTTCAGTAAAGTTTAATATCTACCTGTTTTTGAGGTTTTTTTAAAGATCCCGTCATACAGTGAGTTCTTGTTATAAATGACTCATAATAACCCCTGTTTAATTGTGACATGATGTTCCCTTTGTATTGCTCACTGATTATCAAGCAGATAAAGCTGGCACTGGCTACGTGCTAACAGCACCAACAGTCTTTTAAGAAAGTGCTGTTTCGTGTTATTTACTTTGTGACCCTTGAAACTGCAAACACATGGAAAAGAGAGCAGCCTTGTGTAGCAGAAGTTAAAACACAGAGTTGTAAAAAAAAAAAAAGAAAAAAAACTATAGAAAGAGCATTACTTGGTTGTAAGAATAGATAAAGCCGGTTTCACACAGCGGAAAGAAAAAGTTGCAGGTGAAACTGGTTGTTGTGGTAGAAAAACAAGTTTGGTTTTGCACTTTGCTCATCTCTATTTAACAGTTTTTGAGCTTCTATTTAGGTTTAAGCGTGCACCTTAGAGTCATGTACACTTGTGTTTTTTTTTTTTTTTCTTTTTTCACTGAAAGAGCACCGGCAGCAGCTCTGGCCACACTTCGAAGAGGAGGCAGGGGCTTCTGAGAAAAACGATGCATGTTTCATTTCAGAGGCGAATGAAAAAAAAAAAGTTCTTTGCGGTTTTAATTAGTCATTTTGTTTATTTTAAAGGCCGTAAAAAAATACTTGTCTGTAAATATGTAGTTCTGCGTCGTACCGGGACCTGCACCTTTTCCTCTTCTGGTTCCCTCGCTGCTTTTAAACCTCACAGTGTTTGAAGACTGTGGGGAGAGCAACCGGCATCAGTTGCAAATCTTATCTTTAGAGATTTTTTTTTTCCTCGAGTTGCTCTTTGTTGATTGTAACTAGGGCATCTATATTGCCATGTTTCTGCTCAGCTCACAATTAAAACATCCCCCCCTCCCTCTCTCNGTCTTTCAAAGGCTGATGTGGAGTGCACATAATTATGCATATAAACATAGTGGCTTAATTATCTCTCACAACATCAGTGACAATGTAATTAACAAACATTGCAAGATCAATGAGAGAAACTGCGACCTTCAAAACATTTAACTCCTCACATTGAGGCATCGTGCGGATTTCCTATCAGTGCAAAACCCCAGAATACTTTTCCTAGATAATTTAGATGTCGCATTAGAGCCCTCTTAAGCCAGTCAATGGAAAAAAAACTGTGAATAAAAACTATGAAAGCAATGACAGAGATGCTCATAGCGATGGATCAAACAGGCCTGACCAGGACTTCCATTTGCAATTCTGGGTTCACCCTGAAAGGTTATTGTTCATTTCAAGCTATTTCAAAGCTCCCTCTATTTACTGCCTGTTAATTAACTAAGCAAACAGGGTGGAAGTTTTAAGCCCCGCACTTTTTTTTTTGTGTGTGTGACAAATTACATCAAGCGAATGTACATAATGTCATTTATTCATTGCAACTCTTTATTAGCTCAGCACTGTCCATTTAAACAAAACCCACTCAAACTAATTCACTGATATGAACATAAATGGCTTTTTAAAACGATAATAAATTTTCAGCATAATAAAAAAATTGAAAACTTTAAAAAACGAGTTAATTAAAGCTTATTTTTTTTTGTTAGGTTTTTGTGCCTCTTCACTGACACTCTTTAGCAGGTTTTCTGATTACCATAGGCCATATATAGCAAGTAACTTGCATCTTTATCACCAGCGACACCTCTGTCTCTTAGTCCTGTGAACAGTAAAGCCACGCCACACTGATGACCATGACTGGTCAAAAAAAGGAGATATAATATCCATTTGTTATCATATCTGGGAGGAAAAATGTGGTCTAATTGCCTCAAATATAGACAAGGCAGGTCTGTGTCGTGTGTCGAGGTCCGCTTGTCTGAAGTGTCAAGATTAGGAACCACTTCTTTGTAGATTTTTACAGTGTCACCAGAGAGAGTGCAGATAGTAATGTCAGACGTGTTAACAGGAGAAAATAAAAAGCTGAAAGCAGAACAAAAACAAAAGTTATTTATTCTTCAGTTTATTCTGAGTCGGGGTTTGTAATAAAGGCTTTTTGGAGCAAAATGACTGTTTAGCCCAAGCAAATGACATCATTAGAAAGTATAGACAGATAGCAGGTGAGTATTTTTTTTTAATTTACATGTCATTTTAAAAAGGTCACTGTCAGTTCCAGTAATAATCCCTTCAAATCCAGTCATTTGCTTCTCGTTGATAAAACACCATATGATTTGGTTTATTTCTCAGGAAAGACGACAATGGCAAAACAAGAAAAAAAGAGCTGGCAAAAACATGAAAGAAACTAATTGTGAATGTTTTATTTACTCCAAAAGGAAAGTCATTTTTTATAACAATTTGTAGAATATTTTCTTTTTCTGTAGTTTTAATGGTCAAGTTGAGAAATGTTCATTTCAAATTTACTGAACAAGAAATAGTTAATTCAATTTTAGAGGTCAGTAAGGTTGGTGCTGGAATTCAGGTTTATATATATATATATATATATATATAAAGCAGATTTGAGGAGTTGGGAGTTTATTTTTTTTATTTAACATATGTTTGAAAATGTTGTACCAACACAAGATTGGTTTAACAGCTACATTAGTCATTAGAAATGAGCATTTAAGTTCAAATCAATGTTGTTTTAGATCAGTTAATTGATCAGTTTTATCTAAATGACAAGGTACATTAATATAAACTAGAATAGATTGCGCAGATTCAGGCAATAAGACAATTAGGTGAAAAACATTCCACAACTGGCTGTTGTAATTGTGCAGAAATAATTTTGCAAGTTCAAGAAACTGCTTGATGAAGTTCAATCAATTTAGAAATCCTAGTCAACCAAACTAACAGGGAGGTTTATGCATTAAAGTATTTTTAATTAAATAAACACAAAGTAAAGTTAGTAGAGCAAATTGTTTTTATTTCCTGAAGTCAGATTTTATGGCAGCTGTTCCACGTGTTTTCCCTTTGAAACATGTTCGATTTTCCAGTATATATAGCCTTCTTTTATTTCAAAGTGTAAATCTTTAGTTAGTAAGTGTATTTTTATATTCTGGCACATATACAACCAAGGCTGGAATCATATTGAAGCTATATATGACTTGAAACACTTGCAGCAAATTCCAACTAAGGTCTCTTTTTAAAATCCACTTAAATTCAGTGGGTTTTTTTTTTTTCATTTTAAAAATCCATTTCCAAGAGTTTTTAATGTTTTTACCCATTATCCTAATCAGATAAACAAAACCTTAAACGACTGCTACAGAATGACACTGTGCTTGTGTGCACACAGTGTCACTGTGGTTTAGGTGCAGGTGAAAACACAATAGGTCTGACACACTGATCTGTGGCCAACATGTATGTATTTCCTCTCAAATACCTGATCTGCTTTTTTTTTCTTCCCTCTTGAAATTTTCATGCCTCTTCGATCCACCAGATACTCTTTCATACTGATCCACAGAGCAGAGGAACAACCACTCCTCGCCCCCCACCCCCCCATAAACATAGTGAATGGAAATTTGGGGATTATTTTACATGCTGCGTAGGAGATGTGAAGAGCAGGGCCCAGGGACTGATTTAGCAATAACTGAGAAATAGGAGACAAGAACAGAAATATTTGTGTATTAATTACCTTGGGATGGTGGGCGGTATTACCTCCCGCCAGCTCATGTGTGCTCTGGTGATGAAAACAGCGATAAAACAATTTTTTTAAAAGACTTTGGCCCCCATCCCTGTGACTGTGCCAAGTACGAGCTGAGAAGGCTGACAGTCATGTATAGCCTTGCTGAAATGGTCATCTGGTGAACTGCCAGCTTCACATGTAACATCTAATATGTGAAGATACGAAGGGGACTTTTGGAAATGATCTCAATCTTCGAACACAACTCGTTCGACGAAAGCTACCTCGCTCGTCTCAATTTTTTCGTTTTACTTTTTCTTTTCAGCAACCATCACGCACCTCTTTTTCTCTGCACCATTTCCTCTTTATTAAAGCTGCTCTTCTTTACGCAGAGCTTTCAGGTCAAATCATCCTCTCCTTTCTCCCATTTTCTGACCACTTGCACTAACCTGCATCACACTTAATGAGGCAGAATTAATCCCCACATAATGCAATTAAACTATACATTGACTGTATTTCACTTGTGTCCTTGGGGAAGTTGTCCAATTCAATAAAGTCTTAATGTTAAAATAAAATTTGATTCGTAAATGAAAAGAAGGAGGTGAAGATTTGTTCTTTTCACCTTTAAAGTTGACACAAAAAAAGACTCACTGTATTTTAAAGTATTCCACATTAAAGTTAAATGGTTAGAATTTTTTTCGGACTATTTTTCCCAGCTTTTTACCCTAAATATTGAATTTTGTCATGTTATGATTATATTTTAAACTCCTGAAAAGTCATACATGTTTAAAACTAATTTTTAAAACTTCCATTAATTGTATTAACAATGTAATAGATACTAAAAACAGACATATCTTTTAAACTTTACTGTTTGGTATTGTTACCCACACATTAAGCAGGACTTACTCGCAAAGCAACCAAAACAGGAAGAGACTGAGACTGTATGTAGAAAAATCCACAGATATTTACAGGTGGTGAAGCTAGCAAAGCAAAGCACGTTTCCTGTTGCTATTGTTAATACATAAAGAACAAGTATTGTACTGTAGCAGACTAATTCATTTGTTACTAATCAAAGTATAACAACCAATTAAATAAAAATACTTTGATGCAGTTCATAATGTGATATTAAAGTAATTTGAGACAGCACCTAAATCCCCAAACTGTTCTCATTTTCAGTTATCCTTGTTGCAATTTCAAAGATTTCCAAAGTTTTAAAAGAACTATATGCAGATGATATTCTCCTTCTTTTCTGCCTGCAGGAGAAGCATCGGCACTGCGAGATTATGCAGCCAACACCATGACTGAGATATTGGGAATGTATGGTTATGATGACCAGCAGGTAAGGGATGAGCTGACCAAGATCAGCTTTGACAAGCTCAAAGCTGCTACCTCAGACCTCTCGTCCCTCAGCAGTGAGGAGGCCTCACGCCGTGCTCGCTTCTCCAAGTATGAAGAGTACATTCGCAAGCTAAAAGCTGGCGAAACGCTACCTTGGCCCATGCACTCTTCCCCACCAAAACCAGATGACCTCAACTCAAAACTAGCCCAAGACAAGAGTCCTACCGTTCTACAGACCTCCACCTGCCTACCAGGGACTGAGCCGCAGGCTTACCCCTCAGGCCTAGACCACAAACAACCAGTTGCCCCTCAGCTGGGCAATTCTCAAACGTCCAATTCCTCCCACATGCAGAACATGGCCTCCCGAGCCTCCAAGTATGACTTCTTTATTCAGAAACTGAAGCAAGGCGAGAGCTTGCAGCAGCAGAACGGCAACGCTTACAAGAGACCTTCTAAATACGACCTGGACAACGTGAAGTTTCTGCACCTGTTCAAGCCCGGTGAGGGCAACCCTGACATGGGCGGGGCCATCGCCTTTAAGACGGGCAAAGTGGGCCGCCCTTCAAAGTATGACATTCGAACAATTCAAAAGCTAATACCAGGAAACTCTGAGGCCTCGCTGATGCCCAACATTCAGGCTACGGCACCAGGGAACCCTGGCGCTTCTGGGGTCCCAGCTGTTGGCGCAGCAGGGGCCAGTATTGCCCCGGGGCTAACAATGGACCAGGCGGGACACATAAGTTTCAACGCTGCAGCCGCTGACTACATCAAATCCAGCTTTTCCAAGACTGACTCTATCACCACTGGAACCGTGTCCTCAGTGAAGTAAGTTTGTTTGCACAGTGGTGTACTGAACTAGAACACCTCACCCCAAACATACAAGTAGTTTTTGATTTGTTTGTCAAAGTACCAAAAAAATGTCGGGGTGGGGGTGTAAAATATTTTACAATAGTTTAAGTCATTTAAAATATGTCAAGGTTTACATCTAGTTAATTAGTCAAATTAAGGTTATAAATGGAGTCATGAAATCCAAAATAAACAAACAAATTGGAAGAAATTTGGCGCAGAATGAGAATTTCTTTCCTTTTGGACAATGTAAAACCAAAATTTTGAACTTGTACATGCAAACGCTAAGTTGTGACTTTTTACATCTTATTACTATAGAATTGATTTGGTAGATTTAGTTTCCTTAACATGGTTTGTTTTTTAGTATACGTTTCATATTGAGTGTGTGTGACTGTATGCTGACAAGGCCATACTTGAGTGTAAATAACAGCATACATTTTATGTAAGTAATTATCTGATGCAAACTTTTACAATAAAGCCATCACCAAAATGGCTATTAAGTTGTTTTACATTTAGATTGTTTAAAATGACAGGAATTTATCTCTGTATTGGTTTTTCTGGGTAGCATTTAGCTTTTCACCCCTTTTTAAACTGAGTGCTGCAGGTAAGATACTAACTAAACTACACTACAAAAACCCTATCCCTTTAGGTTTACTGACAGAATGAAAAAATATTTCCAAACCAACATTTCTGTTTTCTCTGCACCTCATAGAGCTAATATGATGCTCGCATACACTTAACAGCTTCTTTGAGTCAGTTAGCCAAACGCAAAGGTAATTGCTACCTTCATAGCAGCCACGAGGAATGTAGTGTGAAACGACGCATAACACCCAATATATCCACAACATGATGAGTTGAGAGGTTGCATGAAGTGTTTACTTGCTTTAGCGCTCCGTGGAGACTGATTTAGCACAGTCATCGCAAAGTGACTGACTTCTTTCGTTTGGCTGGGGTGTAACAACTCTCGCTTTAATTACTTTGGAGCCATGACTAACCTCCCGGCAAGTCGCAGGGGTCGGCTCAACACTGCCTGATGAGTGCACTTTAAAGGAAGCAAACGAGGGGTTTGGGGAGCTAACCTACAGCTGTGTGCATTACCAGTAGGAAAGAGCTTCCAGAGTCTGTTTGATTGGTTTTGACCTTGTCTCTAGTTAGTCCAGACCTATCAAAGACACTGTTCAAGAGCCCTCAGGCACCTCTCCCTCATGCTTTGGCCTTTGTCAGGTTGGGGCACCACAAAGCTGCAGTCTTGGCTAACTGACCCAGTCTGGTGTTGTAGTACACGAGGAAGAGATGTGGTGCTGTGGAAAATGTCTGGCAGTGCATCCTCCCCTCTGGGCCAGATTAACCTCAGGTCATCCCCTGTGTGGAGCTGTTCACATGAAGCTAAATGCCACTTGCTGAGAGGGAGCAAACAAAACCAAATCTCTATTATCACTGTTATTCTGCAGGCAGCTCGGCTGCCAGCTTCACGAGAAGAATCACAACACAGGTGACAAAAGGCAAACACAATTCCTCAGCATGCCTCTGTAATGTGATAAATTCCTCATCATTTCCTGCCTTGGAATAATTTGTTTGAGCTGATACTTGTGCTAAGTCTATCAGCTTGTAGAGTTTTCTTACACCTTTGATTGAAATGATTCTAGATATAACCAGAGGAAACTTGACATGAACATTAGAGCCAAGGGTTCCACACAATATCATAAAAGACCATTTTCAGTTTTTTTTCCTTCCTCTTTATCCAGTTCTGCATAAAAGCACTCACTGAAAATACCCCCATAAAAGATTAATGTGCTTTTGCGCCTGCATGCATCAAAGTTCGCACCTTCTGTACTTGATTCATACAGTGCATAAAAAAATGCTGTTATGCCACAGGAAAACGTAAATTGATACTGCAAAGTATGGGAGTGGTTTATAAGTAAATATTGTGTCAGTTTCTTCTTATTATTAACAGCAGACTGCCTTACCTCTTCATTAATCCTGTCTCTTTTTGTGTTTACTGCTGCATTAGGAACGGCCTGCCACCAGATAAACCCCCCGCCGAAGATGTCAACCTCTACCAAAAATACATTGCCAGGTACGCAAATCCCTCAAAGTGCAGCACCAATAGAAATATACTCGAAATGTATAGAACAGCCTTTCAAAAAAAAACCTCACTGTTGGATCTTTTTTATTTAGTCACGTAACTTCATTTTACAGTGTTTGAACAGTGTTCTGTTGGCTGTAAATTAATAAAAAAAGCTACAGTTTATGTCCTGAGAGGAGTGGAAAGATAAGCAGGTGGAAGGATAAATGTTCCTATTGAGTGTTGCGTAAAAAATAAAACTTTTCAAAATAACATTATACTGTGTAACTTTTAGGTGTGACTGATTCAAAAAGGATTTGAGATTAGGCAGAAATCCGGTTGAGTTCTGCCTTTTAAACACTTCCTGATCTAAAAAAGTCACAACAACAGACACAAAAACATCCCAGGAGGGAAAATGTCTTATGTTTTTACTGGACACGAAACAATGTCTCCATTTTGAATTCGTCATGAAGCGGTACCAGAAAGGTGATCATCACTTGTTTGTTTATTCTATATAAAAAGAAAAAAAGAAAGAAAGAAAAAAACAACTGCATTTGAAAAGTCAAAGTGGCTTTGGCGTTAATGATTACTTCTCCAAGCCATAACATGAAGGGCACAAATCAAAGCCTTGGCACTGAAAGAAACACACACACACACACGCACACGTCCTCCACATGCACACACATTCACACACAAGCACACACACACACACACACACACAC